GCACTCAAGAAATCAAAATCAATTTCCGCGCAGCTACGCGCCCAAAAATCAAAGCCACTTGCCAACACGAACACCGACATTCAACGACCAAAAAAAAAAAGAAGGCATTCACATACACACGTACATATATATGTGAGTATGTTTTTGTATTAAACTTCGGCGCTGAAGTATTTGAAATATATATTGAAATGAACGAATGAAGCAAGCAAGGAGTGTGCGGAAATTTAATTTTGACTAGCAGAACAACAACAAACAAACTTCAGCAGCTGCAGGCACAAAGAAAATTTGATTTGCATTAAATTAAAGTCGAAAGCAAAAAATCATCTCCAAATTTCAAAAGATAAGTACTGCCTACAAAAAAAAAAGTTGAAAGAAGTAGACATAACGCAAGACCAGCAGCTGTGACGTCTGTCTAGAAAGCGACAGCGGCTTCAAAAAAGACGCCAGTGTTATTAATTTCACATTTTCACACCTTTACAACGACATGTGCCACACATGTTATGTGCAACAATTCACCTCCTTGCCTTGGTGGTATGTACTTTGCTGATTTACATACATTCGCCGCATGCTGCAGAGATTTTAAAATTGCGTATACGCCATGGCAGCGCGTTGACAGTGTGATGTATTAAGCTGCCGCAACTCGGCCGTTCGGTCGTTCGGTCGTTGCGTCGCCGGAAAGCGGAAATAAATATTGGATCCGCACACTTTTCGTTACAGTTAAACGCGTATGCAAAGGCGCAATGTAGCATATGGAATGTTATGTGCACAGCATAGTAAGTACTAAGAACTGTTGGGCTTTCGCTGAAGAGTGAATGGATTTTTAATACGCTCTTATATTTCAATAGCTTGGCCCATCAATATAAAGGAATCTTTCAATGCAATACTTACCAACTTTGAGGTGTTTGAATAAATGAAATAAATGAAAATGTGATGAGATTTCCAAGATATGGAAATAAGATACATAAGTCGTCAGCCTAAGCGGACAGAACATATATGTCCCGCGAGCTTAGTTGTTACAGAATATTTCTTGATTAATCTGCGGGGATGTAGAGAAAGATGTGAGATGTGAATTTCCGGCCAAAGGGACTTACAATCTTTGCAAGTTCCGGGAATCGGCCAACGCTCACTGAAACTGTTAGAAACCGTCTCCAGATCACCATAGGGACTTCAATAGGCGCCCCCGTCAGAAGCGATGACTTCAGAGGTACCCTGTCCAGCCAGTTAAGCAGCCATGCACCTTCCTGTAATACCACTGTGCCGTGGATTTTAAAAGTGACGTATTTTCCGACCAATTTCGTTAGTACCAAGAGTGTTCTTAGAGCCTTGATTACCGCCTAGCAGGTGGATAGAATATTTAAGTATATACTGTACGCAGTCGGTAGAATGCACCATTTAAAGATTTTACTTTTGCTTTAAATACGCTTAAAAAATCTAGAAATCTAATTTTGAGATTAACTAAGAGTTCCTGATAAAATACAACTCTACCATCTAACTTCGAGCCATCAGTAATATGTCAACTTGTACCTTTCCCCAGAGGTTTCCAAATTCAGTCGGGACCTGTGCTGACACTTTTCTTCAGGTATGAGTTCGTAGTTTCCACAGAATTTTTCACATACTGCATATTGCGAGTACTGCTTAGCCTCATAGCGAAGCCTACTGCTGCTGCCTTGTACGCAGTTTCAACCGCTACGGGGCAAAAAAAAAAATCGCCAAAAATTCTAGTTGTACTCTGATTTTGCTGTATTTTGTCATTTATTGAATTTTTTCTTAGAAATGAAGAAATCTGAAAAGGTTGCATAAATTGGCAAAAGTTTACCCACGGTTTAATCAACATTGTAATCCCAAAAGCTGCCTGGCGCAAAGTAGTTACAGTCTTCATGAAGTCATTGAAAATGCTACAAATCAGATAAATCTGTCAAATCTGAAAAGACTAGGAAATATAATGAAAACCCAATATGGAGCAATCCTCTCAAACTATTGAGTTTGGCCTTAAAGCTGAAACCAACCCATCAAAATCCGATTATTGAACTGCCACAGTTGAATGCGTGAACTGCCGTTCGAATTTTCACGCAAAAATGCGATTCATACACCGACATCAAGTGATCTTTTAAAAAAGCCTTAGATCGTGTCAATAGTCATGTTTTGCGTCTAGTAAACCACTTATTTGGCTATGTCGAGACATTTCGAAAAATGAACTTTTGCCAGTCTCAGACCGCAGAGGGGCGCCAAGCATAGCGTTATATAGGATTCAAAAAGACGGCTCTCTGTGCCCTAGCTCTTATTTCGGTTTTGCTGGTACGTATATTCCACCAGACAACGACCCCATACAAAATACTTGGCTTGATTGCGGCTTAACACAACCAATAAATTATCTTTGGATTGAGATCCCATCTCTTTTGCTAACTGCAAACCATTAAATGGGCAGATGTACTTCAATATAAATAAATCAGTATATAAAGTATATTCGAAACAATTTCTTTTGCACATTTTTTGTTCCCAATGATAGCGAAATATTTTGCACTATACCTATTTCATTTTAACAATTCCAAACATTTTAGAAACCACTGTGCATGTTTAAAAATCACACTTGTCCCAAAAGCTTCCAGGCAAACATCAAAGTTTGCAGCTGTTTGAGGTTGCCAGGGCACATTGAGGCACCCGAAGTACATCGAATGAGAGACGAAATTATAAAACACAAAAGATACTCTAACATCGTATTTTTTTCGTGTGCAGCACACACAGCCCGCCCGGGGGAATAACGAATCGAAGCTGTTGCAATGAGTAAAAATGTGGTTGAATTGCGGCCAGAAAAGCGGCACCGCAAACACACGGCACACTGGTAGGGCTGCTGAATGTAAATAAAAATCTGCGCCATGGCATGCTATGCCCTCCACATGTATGTAGAAGTACTCATGTACACACATACATATGTACATATGTGCACTAAGCACATATCGTGAACTTTTGAAAAAATAACTTAAGTGATTTTAAGAAGTTTTGATTTCAGAGCAGAAAATGCCAAATTTTTTTAACAAAATTTGATATACTTACATCTATGCATTCAAAAAACTTTATTAAGATGATAATACAGGCTTTAGTTTTCGCATACCAATTAGCGTTTCAGTAATGAAAATTTTACTGAAAAAAATTCCCGAATGCGACTTGTTTCGTTCTTTCAGATTGCCACTTATTTGTATGTACATATGTTTAAATACCTATATTTTAGAATTTGTGCACAGATGCGCAACGCATATGTCACATGGGATTAAACGTTCTACGTGATATGATAAGCTGTGAAACAGATGCCTAAATGACACGCACCCGAGCGCACATTCTAAATTTGTAAAATACATATATTTCGCATTCATGTACGTATGTCTATGTATGTATACTCATACACATTGCCACTCAAACAAAGGCATTTAAGCATAAATCTGTGTGTCTCCTTTTTGTAATAAAAACTTATGCCCCAGCGCGCCTCAAGACACTTGCTATAATCTTTTCATACTTTCTTATCCGCTTTCTCGCCTTCCTGCCCCTTTTTTCGTATGTAATTGTGGTGCTTCACGTCTTAACTTACACCGCTGCGCTAATACTCAACTTGCAAAATAAAGCATTAAATGTTTTGTTTTTTTTTTTTTGTTGTCGAAATTAAAAGTCAAATTACACAAACACATACGCGAGTATCTATGTATGTATGTATGTACGTATGAATGTTTGAGTGCAAAATGTCTGCTTCCGGCAACTTATGGCGGCTTATAACTTTTTTTTTGTAAGGTAAGAGATTGGGAAAAATGTGCGGAATTTACGNTGCCTATATTTTTAACACGGGTATTGATATGATATTTTATGTGACGGCACTTACGTTTTTACAAAAATAATTTACATGAGTAGAATTGAAATTTTTATATTATTTTGCCGCGAGTAGAATGTGCTTTTTAATACAAGAAAATTTTCTGCAAGACCTATTCGCGGATCGATAAGCAAAATAACATGTGGCATTACGTAAAATATACTACATACTGATAAGTAATAATAAATGCATTATAAGTATAGTCTTTAACAACTGCATTAATAAATTATTGGTATGCAACTTACGCTGCCTTAGCATAGTAAAATTAAGATTTAGTTATTTTAATATATAAATGATAAAAAAAAAGAATTTTTTCAGAAAAAAAAATTCAAACCAAGGTGTCACTTCGACTCTCTTTTTAACATCGCTGCTGGTTTCTATAAACTGAATCTACGACTTTTCTTATCAACAATACCAAAAAGATGTTTCGTGCACTGTCTATCGAGCTACCGAGTATGTATAACAATACGAAGAATCAAATTACCAAAGTATGGAAGCCCTTTTTACTTCGAATATCGATTTATCGGGCTCTTTCGATTCGATGTTTTGCTGATCTTCTAGTTATGATTCGATTAAAAAAATTCTACCGAAAAAAAACGAAAGGCAACATTTGATTTTTACTCAATCGATGCATATCGACTTGCCCTAAAAATATATGAAATTTTAAAGGAAAGCCTCTTGAAAATAACCTTTTGTAAAATCATGGATAATACTACATCCAAAACTCGAAAAATGGAAGTTGCGAACACACACTGGACTGGGCTACAAGTCTGCATACGCAAATTTATTCAAACAGGAGTAATTAAAGATAGAAATATAGCGTGAGCAAAAACAAAGAAAAAATAAATATATGCTCTTTTTTTAAAAAAAAAAGCGGTTAGATTTAAAGTAAAACATAAAAATTACTCTCTTCAGATAAAATTCCTAACCAAAAATTTAACCCTTTTCCCAAGTAGGGCTAAGTATTTATAAAGGTTCTATGGAATTCTAATATCGTTCGCTTGATATAGAGAAGCCTTGTCTCACATTTTTATTTTTTTTTTTTTAATATTTACGGATTGTGAGCTACCTGACACTTTTGGCAAAATCTGGATATTGTAACTGTTACAAACAATGGATTTTAAAAATTACTTACAATAAGTGTTTCTAATTTCAGCGCTGGTCAGGTCACAGCTTTTTTTTTTTCTTTATAAAAATTAAGTTAAATTCTTGGGAGATCGATTTCTTCTTCGTACTTCGATTATTTCGATTCGAATCGATTCAAAAATTGTTTTTTTTCAAGACTGTTGAAATAGATTTTCCATAACCGGCTACTGAATAGGGGAGACATTTGCTCTTTCTGGATTATTCGCCAAAATATAATATAACTCTTAAAAATAAAGTAACATCTAAATATATGTTTGAAAAACAAATTACGAACTAATTGCCTCCTCTAAAATTGCTGGTGCGAGTTTATTAAATACTTAACGAAATTTAAAATATACAGACATTTCCAAAAATGCTGCCCCGAATCATCACTCAATGCGAGTGTTTCCCGTCCGAAATATCATAAACTATATCTCACATCTAAGATTTCGTACTTCTGCAGCGTTTTTCAAGTAGAGGTGGCAAAGCCAAGCAAACCCACAGCCCAGCAGATGTCAGGAGTCTCGAATTGCTTATGGGACGATTGAATCTGGTCAACCAGTCTCTCGGTCGTATCCGTTTACTTCTCAATTAGTCTCATTTGGTTCTAAGGTAGAGTGGCAATGTACCGCACCCGCGAGGTAACCTCACTTAACCGGGATGGTATAGGAGTTCATGTGTCAACTCTCGGCACGCTTGAGGTCATCTACATATATGGCAACTCGCAGGCACAGTTGAGCTTCAAGTCTACTTAGCGCTAGATGAACGCCCTGCCACGCAAAGTTTGCAAAACCTTCTGTACAGTCGTTGGGTTGGTGGCGGTAAAAGGAGCGCCCTGCAGCTGGCAAACAACTATCGGTTCTAACAAAAGTCCTGACCTGGTGCTGTTAAGGAGGAGACGATGCAGAACTGATTAATAATGTTTCGCGCCTATTTTTCCTCAGGGAGACGATGCAGAACTGATTAATAATGTTTCGCGCCTATTTTTCCTCAGCGGTTTGCGAGATAGAATCATCTGAGTATTTCCTACCCAGCCGCCCTTCTTTCGCCGAATGAAAGTTTTAAAAACTCGACTCGTATTTTACCATCACTACCAAGGAACTCCCTAGTTTGGAAACCACTTGTATGTAGTCGGTCAACGTAACTTTATTTTGAGCGTTCAGTACTCAGTACTTTTTCTAGCAACTGCAAAGTACTACCAATTGGTAACAAAGTGGGCACGTCCAAGACCTGATGGCAGAAGTTAAATAATCAATGTAGTTACTGTCACAGCTTGAGACCAAATCACGGGTATGAGGCTGTTACAATGACCAGACCTTATCTTTTTCCTTCGTCTGTCTTGCGTTGAAGGAAAACTTATTAGTTATATATACGACAACGCAATCACGAAGTTGGAAACCTCTTTTGCCGGGTATCCAACAATGAATTGCTTCTGCTTCATCTGGTAGTTTTCGTTTCGTCATTAGTACTAAGCTCACAGAAGACATAACACTTTTCGCTATGGCAGCTACCTTTAAGTTCGTCTAGGTACCTTCTGTCTCAGTTTAACCCGGTTATCTTTGTCAAAGAAGCCTTTAAAAGTGTAAGCTTTTAGCTTCGCAACCACAGCAAAGATACACCTTCTCGCCTCAAATTTGTTTCTTATAAACAAAACACTTATAAAGAAGGGACTCTAATTTTCCTTTAAACAATTAAATGTTTCTCTATCAGCATATTTTCAGTTAAAATATGTCTGTCACAAGTTTCGATGTCAAGTTCATTTTTCACTGTCATTCCATCAGCGGAAAGTGAAAAACATTCAAACCCTTTCTTCCACGTCAATTCAAGCTGCAAAAAGCCTTTGACGGAAATAAGAAATATAAAATTGCATGAAAATGCGAACGGCTTACCTATGTATCAAAAATTTATAGTCTCACATACACTGCATATCGTTTTTGCGGTTTTCTCCAAGGATAATGTGTGTCTTTTAAGTCTGTTGCCATGCCGTTACTTTTTTGCTGAAAAGCCAGCAAGAGAGCTATTCTGTATTCCTTTTCAGGATTTTTAGTTACTCTTTTCTCATCTTTTTTACTAACTGCAAATCCATCTCACTTTTCTCTCTCTCCCTTTCTCTTTTCATTGCAGGCATGAAGCCCCGGATCAAGAATCATTTTCGCGCGCATCAGCTTTCGATTTGGCTGCGGCTCATACCAGAGTTGCATCGTACCGGCATGGAAGATGTCATTACGCGTCACAATTTATTTAAAAATCATGATGACATGGATTTGTATGAAGGACCTGTGAAACCGGATCCGTTTGCCTCGACACGTCTGCTACTCATCGATGATGCGCTGTTGCGCAAGGCTGGACGAGGCGGCAACTTGACGGCCGGCTATATAAGCGGCGTCTTGGGCGGTAAGTTGCTCTTCATTTTTCTTCTTTTTTGCTTTAGTGGTTGCGGAAAAATACCAAAGGCAAATATTTAATGCAAGAAATAACTCGCACATATAAGTGCGCACAAATGTACATTAGGGTGGTCTTTAAAACTCCAATCGGGGCCAAAATTTGTATGTGGTATCTTCGACTATTATAGACGTAGATTTTGAGGCTTAGGAAATCTTATGAAAAAATTTGCTTCCAACATTTAAGGACCGCCCTAATGCACATTCAACGTATATTGACAGAGTAAGAAACCCTATGTAAATATGGCATGCGGGCATTTCACTGCAAAATGAGCAAATAATATATACATATACATATGTATATACATATATGGTACATACGTACATATGTATGTATGTATGTGTGCGCTTAGAACGCCTCTTTTGTTTACTCAGTCACCCAACTTGCAAAAAAATGCCAACGTAACGAGTATTCGCCGCATTGACAAAGGTACTCGGCTACGTGTCGGTCTGCCAGTCCGGTTGTCTGTCATTTGAGTCAACCACAAACATACAAACAGTTTGGCGCGGTTAATAATTTCCTTTTTCCCAACGGCTGATGAACTCTCGCCACTATCCCATTGCCAGTGCCATTTCGCCTATCCTTGCAGGCATCGGTCAGCTTTCTGTGTGTGTTGAGGAAGATGTGGGCTAGGCCACCACAATTTGATATTTCAATTGGTTTGCCGCAGCTGAACGACTGATGCTTCCACATTCCTTCTGGTTATTTTCCACTTGTTGTTACAACCAGCACTATGAACGTGTGCTGACTTTTATTGTCAGCTGTTAAGTTAACTCGTCACATTGTTTTTCCGCTTGTCTAGTTTCCAATGTAGTAGATGGGCTCGTATGAAACTGTCAAATCACTGGGCAAGTGAGATAGGAAGCCGCATATATCGTCACTTTATACCCCATGTATGTATGTATGTATGTAGATGTTTACTCTCAACTCAGACACGTGTGCAAACAAGTGAAGAAACGCGCCTCCGAGAAATATACTGCTCTAAGGAGAAATCTTAATTGATTGCTTAAATATTTGTGGTCATAAATACTAGTTTTAGTTGACAGCTATGAAGGAAAATTAAATATTNTTATTGCTTAAATATTTGAGGTCATAAATACTAGTTTTAGTTGACAGCTATGAAGGAAAATTAAATATTTATGAAAATAGTTACACAGATGTCAAAATGTGTTAGCTTAGTTGACAGTTTTGATGCTGGAAAGCATACATTTTCATAGAGACAGAAAAAGTAGGTAGCTTTTAAAATTTATCTGCCTTTCAAATATATTTTTTCAGAATAAAATCTGTGTGTAAAGGGCAGAAAAATTTTGAAACCTTCTTCAGAAAACGGCCCTAAATCTTTTGGTTTTGAACTCGCAAGCTGAACCCTTGGTCTGCACAATTTGAAAGCGAAATATCAATACGCATCCATATACTTATGTATAGACTGATTTGACCCATATATATTTTTGTATTGATTTTAAAGAGGGATATAAAAAATACCAGATTATGATTGAGTTCACCAGAGGGAGCAATGGACCTTTATAGGGTTACAGACGTTCGCTGAACAATGCATTAATTAGTAGCCTCGAAAATTACTTTGGTGAGGTACCGTGTAGATCATATCAAAGCTTCGTAGTGGCATATAATGTTCTCTACTGTGGCCTGTGCTTCGCCACACAGCTGCTTAAGTACTCTGCAATGACCATTAAGAAAGCCATGCTGTCAGCAGCAGGTTAAGGACTGTGTCATACATACATAGCTATATAGTTGGGGCAGAACTTAGCTTTGGAGGCATAATTGTCTTTCCAAATGCTGACGAATAGAAGCCTACTGGGCTATTAAGCCATAGATCCCTGGTCGGGCTTGTGGCCATTGGTACACTGACATTGACTGTACCCTCGGCGTTTATGTATGTCGTTTATCGTACCAGTTGAGTCTGCTTTGCGTGGAAAATTGTAAAGTTGTATTCAAAGTGGTTCCTTGGAGTGCATCCAACAACAAAGCTGGCAGCTAACCCTTGGCCCATTAAACTGAATGGTTGTAAATTTTATAGTTTCTCCATGTCCGACTGAGATGACCTTTACTCACCAAACAATCAATATATTCATAAAACTGCGGGCCAAATATAATAAAACTACGTATTTTAGTTTTTTTTTCTGACGTCAGGTTATTTTTTTAAGGCCTTCAAGTTACTAGAATATTATTGATTAAAAAAATTATTCAAAAGATTCGGTGCATTGTAGAATAACAATATGGGTATCAATTAAAAGAAAAAAGTCTGTACAATAGAAAAAATATATATTTTTTGGGTGCACCAGGGCGAATAAGTATTGAAAATGTCCTTTCTAAAACTTTATCCTTGAATATCCTTGAAAATTTCAAATATTTATTTTTGAAAAAAAAAAATATGTCAAGGACTAACATGTTAGCTACCACATCCTCGAATTTCGTAGTTCTAACTTATTAGTTTTAAATAAAAAAATTGTACAATTGTATGGAATCACGTATGCACTTTAAAAGAACAAACTGTCTTCTTCTTCTTATTTGCCACTAAAAACGTTGGTAGGTTTGGGCCGAAACCAGAGCACTTCGCCATTTGCATCTCTCCTTTGGGTATATTCTGCCACTTGTTCGTCCTGAGTGAGAAAACAGGTCCTTCAGGCACTTAGTCCTTCCATTCTCTCGCAATATAATTTCATTAAAATGCCTTAGACTTAAATATTTTCTAAATACTTGTAAAAATAAATAAATACTGATTAGCTGAAGGAAAGGTTGTTTATAGAATTCCAAACGGTACTTGAATTTTCAATTTATTTTTTAACGAAGTAGTTTAAAATTTCAAATTTATTTATCCCACAAGTCAATCATACAAATTGCATTTATTAAAGTCTTTTATCCACTCGTGACTCTCTACCAAATCGTCACGCCACCTTAAACACCAACGCACAAAGTTGTCCTCCCTAAGCATTTCTGTTGTTGACACTTCAAATTTTGACAACGGTAACGGATATAGCCGTACTTACGTAGCTCCTCCGCCAACAAAAATGTGTTTTAGCTTAGCGGAGAGCTGTCACAGGTTTTTTTTTTTGTTTTTGAAGCTCTATAATATTTCGGCTGGTGCCTGCGGTGCCACGTAACGCCCACACTTTTAAGCAGACGAATTTGTATTGAACTCAAACCTCTGGTTTGCTTAAATTCCTTCTTCGCACATTTGATTTGTATTGTCTGGTTTAAGACGAATGGGCAAGTTTTTCTCCATTTTGGTTTTTGTCTTGCCTTCTCACTAGCATTGTTGCCCTTGACATGCCTTTGTTATGTCACTATACTTATATGAGTGTGTATATATCGCTGGTCCTCTGCAATAACGACACAACTCAAAATTTCATATTTGCAGTAATTCTGTAGGGACAGTTTGTAAGCTTTCAAATTGGACTGAAAAAAAAAAATCCGAAATTAGTAACAACTCCTAAGTAGTTAAACGAAAAAAATCTCCATTTGTATTGCTGAACAACACACATAAAATCATCACAAACCTATCGACAGTTGTTGACTTATGCCAATATTAGCGATAAATCTGAGACATGTGCCACTGTTCAATGGCAAAACTGCGGCCCTGTCGATTTGCATAGAAAAATATGTCGATTTGTCACAGAAAAATATGGCTATTTATAAATCTAATCCGCTATATAACTCAAATAAACATGAAATTTTGAGTTGTGTCGTTATTGCAGAGCACCGCAGATATATATTCATTTGGGCGCATATAATTTATATTTCCCTCAAAAGTTTTAAGTTCTGCATCCCTTTCAATTTTCAACAACCCTAGGCGTAGTACATTTCATCATACACATACATACATACATACATACATACCACTCGAAGCTCATTGCTGGCGTTGATGGCTTTGTCTCGATATTGTAATTATAACATTTCCTTGTTATTTCCTGTATCGTTTGCTTAGTCTCCCTATTGTGCTTTTTTCCGACCTTTTGAAATTTTGATGACATATGTACGGAAAATGGAGCCTCGGGTAATTTCTTGATATTTGAGGAAATTGTCTTTTAATTTCATTTTTTTCCTTTCAAACCATTGTCCCAAATTCAAAGTCAACATATGCAAATTAATATGGACAAAAATATTTATATAGCTACATATTTACAGACATAGATAGTTATTTATTTGGTTATTTGTACGGCTATCAAATAAAGTTATTCAGTTTGTCTTCTTGTCCCAAAATCACCGTTGTCTTCTTGAACGCATGTAAATAAATAATACTTGGCAGCTTTTGCGAATTCTATGCTTGTGTGTGGATGTGTGAGCACACATTCATACATACCAAAGCAAGCACAGATCTAGAATTTTATTTTTTTTTTTTTCAATTTATAATTGTTCTTTTTATTTATATTTTTTTCAGTCTCTGTCGACAACATGTAGGATACGGCAAAGTTTAATTGTTTATGTAAAGTTTTATTTGAATTCCATGGTTTTGACAAACGGAAATTGAAGTTGGTTTTATACAAACCTTAGACTCAGATAAATGGTTTTAGTTGTTTTCTTTATGTTTTTTGCTCTCAAAGTTCATATTGAAATTTACGGTATTAAATTATTTAGATATTAAAAGCTCTTTAGATTCATACATACAAATGTAGGTCTCAGTTTAACGCCTCAAATTGATTTATAATTAATTTTAGATTCTCGTTACCATTCATTTCTTATATAAACCTTTTCGGACTAAATACGATTTTACTAATAAACACCGCCATCTGGTGGCTATTTTCAAAAAAGAAAGTAGCATTTCAAAAACGAAGAGCAGAAATAGTCTCAATGATCTCTAATTTGAAGGATATTTTTAAAATCCGACTTTTACAATCAAATGTTTGTCATTTAATACCAAGTGGAAATTCGGCATTATTGCAAAATAATTTTTTTATATTTCACTTTTACATCAAAATTAAAATTACAAGAATTAT